GGTGGGAGATGATTTTCTTTCTCCTTTCCCCCCCCCCCCCAATCTCTTTTTAAAAGTCCCAAAAGGACTAAAAGTGGGTGGCATAGTTTATTTTTTATTATTTTGTTTACTAATTAAATCCATATCCCTAAGGCCAAATTTGGCATAGGTAACTTTGTTCCCACGTTTTCTTGTTCACCAAGCATAGATCTTAGTACTGGCCCTGAACGACATTAGCCCCCTTTTGTTTGGATTAATTTAATTTTCTGTAGTTGGTCTTCTTGCACCTGTGCATGGCATTCATGGTTGAAAATAATTTAACCTACTTTTCATCAACTTGTTGCTGTAGAGTATGGTAAGATCTTATGAACTTTTGTCTTCTTTTTACAGTGAAGTAAGGAAGAGAGTTCAAAATGTGAGTGTTGTTGGAATTATCTTTGGTGGTTAGTAGAGATGGGGACGAGGCAGAAAGTTTGGATCCAAACCAGCATTCAGTGCTGTCAGTGATCGCAGGAGAGCAAAGGAACCCATAGATCATTGGTTACTAAGGGCTTGTCTATACTTACCGCGCTGGTTCGGCGGCAGGCAATCGAACTTCTGGGTTCGATTTATCGCGTCTAGTCTGGACGCGATAAATCGAACTCAGAAGTGCTCCCCGTCGACTCCGGTAATCCTGCTCGCCGCAAGGAGTACGCGGAGTCGACGGGGGAGCCTGCCTGCCGGGTCTGGACGGGGGTAAGTTTGAACTAAGGTATGTCGACTTCAGCTACGTTATTCACGTAGCTGAAGTTGCGTACCTTAGTTCGATTTGGGGGTTTAGTGTAGACCAAGCCTAAGTCACCCAGGCAGAGGGAGGGGAGAGGGTAAAAGAGAAGACAGAAAATGAAGGAGAAATAAGTGTGTGTTTGCGGGGGGAGGGGGCGGGAGGTCACAAGCTCCCAAACCTGCCCACATCCAGTCATAGAGTCATAAAGTCTAAGGCCAAAAGAGACCACTGGATCATCTTGTCTGACGTCCTGTCTAGCACTGGCTGCCAACACCACCCAGCACCCGCCCACCAAACCCAACAGCTGGAGTGAGACAAAAGTCTTGCAGTCACCAGGAGACCAGACCCTTACATGCCCGAGGCAGACAATAGGAGGGACTGGGGTGCACCAGTGCTGCAGGCCCCTGCAGTGGCAGGGAAATGGTTAAGTGAGATAATTCCGAGTAATCCTAGTGAGTGCCCCACATCCCACACTGCAGAGGAAGATGAAAACCCTCCAGATCACTGACAGCCTGATTCGCGGGGGGAATATTCCTTCCCCATCCCACTTATAGTGATCAGTTAGACCCTGAGCATGGGAGCAAGAACCAGCCAGCCAAGCCCTGAGAGAGAGAGTGATTGATGTCACCTCACAGCCCTCGTCCACCCCGCCCAATAGCCTGTTGTCTTCTCCAGCATTTCCTGAAGCTTCAGAGGAAGGAGATTAAAAAACCCTCTCAAAATACATTGGAGGGAAAAGATCCCTTCCTGACCCCTGTGAGTTGTGGCCCTGAAGCATGAGGCTGAGTAACGTAAAACAGAAAATGGAAGTGAGCCCCACTTAATGTTCCGCTATTTGTCTCTATTGACAATGGTTTCCATCTTAATATCACCGGCAAACTTCATTTAATTTATCACACCAGCATTATGGAGTCTTTGTCCTGTCCCTGCCTCTGCCTGGTCCCCACTGTTGTGGGAGTTGCTCCCAGGATTTTAAAACTAGCACAGTGGGTTTAGTGCTGCTGGAAGGGATAGGGTCTGCGCTGTGATAAAGTGATGGAATGTTTTCCCAGCATATGACTCAGAAACATTTTGTGCAGGGAAAGAGCCAGGGCAAATTATGATGTGACAGAAACTAACTTCTGAAATCTTCCCTGCTACCCTTCTCACCCTGACAGGCAGCAGAGTAACGCCCACCTTTGGCTCCAGATTGTCCCAGCCTCCCACAGGACAGGGAAGGGAACTGGCTGTAGTGGAGCCAGTCCAGGTAGGGATTATTGCAGGGTTGCTAGTGAGTTCCTGCTGGAGGGAGAGGGGCAGGAAATACTGAGGGCCTGGGATCTTTGCGGGAGCTCAGTCTGGAAGTGGGATGGGGGCAGGAAATACCCAGGGTGGAGAAAGGGAGGGGGACAAGGCATGTGACAAACTTGCTGGGAATTGTTTAACCCAAGTCCTGGATTCCGGGAACAGACTCATGGGGTTTGGGGAGGAAATTATCGTATTTGTAGAACGGGGCTGGTGGGGGAATGCTGGACAGTGCTGGGAAAATGTATGAGATTCCCAGTGCAAGAACATAAACCTACTCGCCAGAGGCTGCTACAAGATTCAAAGGAGTGGGGTGGGAGGTTACCCACCAGTGTGGCCTAGAGTAGATAAGCCCTCCCCTTCCTTCCAGCTGCTGGCAATGGGAAGTTTGTTGGGATTCCTACTGGGAAGCCAACCCTGGAGCCTTCTGGGGACCCCATTTCCCATATCAGCCTCTGGCTTGTAGGTGTGTGATGAATGAGAAGACCCTTCCCCCTCTGTTTGCTGGGAGGGATGAGGGGATCTCTATCTCACTTCCTGATTTGCCTCCTGGTTGCTCTGAGCAGGGTGGGGGTGGGACTCTGCTGACTGTGTCTCTGTCAGAGCATCCATTTGATTGGCTCCTTTTCCCCATGAATAGTTCTTGCTCTTTCAGGGGCTGGTGACTTTTGAGAAGGTGGCTGTGTATTTCACCAAGGAAGAGTGGGCTCTGCTGGACCCCCGTCAAAGAGCCCTCTGCAGAGACGTGATGCAGGAGAATGATGGGAATGTGACTTCGCTGGGTAAGGATTCCTGTCCCCTCTGTTCTTAGAAGGGGAAATGAAGAGTTAAGGTTCATGCCACTCCCACAATGTCACCTCTAATCTGCCCTGTCTCAGCAACAGCCCATTGAGTGCATTGAAATGGGGAAGGCTAGGTCCCTCAGGATTCACATGCACCTCTCTGCATACCACAGTAACAGCTCTGCCAAGGTGCTCCAACTACTCCCTCCACCATCCAGTTACAGCTGACCCAGTGCACAGAGCTGGAGGGCATGTCGATAAATGCTGGTATTTCCATCTCCAGAGGTGAAAGTAAGCCGGTACAGGCTGGTACAGAGGACCGGTAGGGTGACCAGACGTCCCGATTTTGTCGGGACTGTCCCGATATTTGCTCATTTGTCCCGCGTCCCGACCA